CAGTCGTATACCACCACAGCAAATGATGCAACTGTGAAACCACAGTCGATAACAGTGAGACGTCGCCATCGTCATCTCACTTGCTCTCTACGAACCTACAAAATAGTCGAGAAGCAATGCACCACTGATGATCGACCACCAAGCGGGGTCATTTGAGATGTAGGTCATATCGGGATGAGGTGTATGGAGTTCGCGCAGACATGCCACCATTCAGCGCTTTTATGGTGAGCTTTCCCAAATGTCATTGTCATCCGGTCTTCATATATTTGCGGTGAGGTACCGGCAGGATGATATCAATATTATGTAATTGGGTGGGCTTATTTCAAGACGTAGTACTTTTGAGGGAATTCATATTACAGTGTGTTGCATAAAAAAACCAAGAAACCGGAATTCTCGAAAGTCCGCCAGGTCCGCCTGTCCGTCCGCCTGTCCGCCAGGGGGGTCCGTCCGTCCGTCCGTCCAGCTGAGTTCGCAATTTGACACAACACAACCAAATAACACGATTAGATACTGAGATAAGAGTCTGTTCGGGATCACGATTTCGCCCAACTTCGAGAAATTCAGAAAAGAAAAAAACAACTTAAGTAAGCATGCCGGTGTGCCGTGTGCCCTGGTCACAGTGTGACATCTTCTTATCGATTCAATCATGCCCTCGACACGAAACTCATCAGCGCGATACTCTCTCCGGTTCCACCCAACTATGACTAAAGGAAAAGGTAAAAAGAAAGCAGCCACTGACAGTCAGGAAACTGCCGCACCAGCAAAAGACCGCTGCATATGGTCTCTGGATGATGAGAGGAAGCTCGTGGAATACGCTGTACAACACCACGCCAAAGGTGGCGATGGTATGAACTTCACCAAATCGTTCTGGGTTGGTGCCGCCGCCGAGATGGCAACACGCCCATGCCCCGAAGGCGCTCCCAAGACACCCGAAGCCTGCCAATCCAAATGGACTCGGGTAAGTACTATTGTTGTATTGATACATGTGCCGTTACTGATATAATTTAATGTATCTCTAGATCAAAAAGATGTATCAGGTGGTCGACAAAATCGCTAGCCATGCCTCGGGGCTATCATTCCACCCGGAATTAGGAGCCAACATCAGCGAAGAATCAGAGACTATGTGGGCGGACTTTATCAAGGTCTTTTTTCGTCTATTTCCCCTGCTCTACCTTACTAATTATTCACGCAGCATAACCCCTCAGCGAAGCCTTTAAGAAACAAAGGCTGGTCACATTACGAGGCGCTGCGAGGGATCATTCCGACACACACGAGCAGCTGGGTTGGGTTTCATGCCGGCACGAGCCTCACCACAAACACGTCGACTCCTACAGCAACTGGTAGCGACATAACTCAAAATACTACCGCCGATGCCCCCGCCGATGTCATGTCGTCACTGGAGAACGCGCTCCATCAGGTCGAGTTCCGCGATCTCGATCTCGATGATGACGACATGCGCACCACCCCAATACCGAACGATACCCCACCTGTCCCCGCGCCTATCCTACCTGTCCCCGCGCCTATCACACCTGTCACGCCAAGAGGCTTCAACGCTGCAATGCAGCCTTTTGTTGCCCCCTCGATTTCCACGCCTGGTTCATCAACCGCAGTGAAGCGCAAAGCCGACGGGGACGATAGTGAACGATACGTGTCCCGCCCTCCACACTCTTCAAAAGCAAAGAGTGCGTCAGGGTCGTCAAAATCACAACGTCTCACGCTGCCGCTGGCTTTGGAAGGGTTGGGGGATAAAGTGTCCGGCGAAATATCTACCGCGTCATCCACACTTCAGGACATCATCACAGCCCACATCATGGAGCCCGTTCCATCCCGCAAGCGGCGCGCCATGCTTCGAGTCCAAGAGGAGAAGGACTTGGATGATTATGACGCTTTTGCAATGATCAGGCTGTTTCAAGCTGACGTCACTATCGCTGACGCGTATAATAGCATTACAAGAGATGGTATTAGGAAGATATTTTTAGCGCAGCACCTGCAGGAGGCAAGGAGAGTGCGTGCGAACGAACAGCAACTTTTATAATACCTTTACAATACATCTGCGCGCAATACAATACTTGAAGTTGACAGAAAACATCATCATGATTGGGCAGCAAAGACAAGATACATTGTACATAGGACTAGATACCTACAGCAAAAAAATGACAATATTATTCAGTTTGCACCAGGTGGCACAGGTGCTCCTCTGCGCCGCCTTTCCGCAAGGTAGTCATCCCACATCGACTGAGAAATCTCGTCACGAACATCGTGTGCACGAATGCGTGCTGCTTCAGTGGGAGGTCCATCGGCGAGTGTGCCGCTATCATAGTTACCGCTCCACTCATCCGCCTCCACGTCACGATAGTCGAGTAATTCGTCTGGGTCGTGGATGCGGATGACATTGTGTACGAGACACAATGCCGGAGGGATGCGGGCCTGTATGTCGGAATTGTACTCTGGAGGGAGCCGAAGTATACGAAAGCGGTTTTTGAGGACACCGAAGATATGCTCGACGACATTGCGGAGCTGCGCGTGGCGTAGGTTGTATAATTCCTGGGCATTGCAAGGCCTGCAAAGATTGTAAGTACTGTGCCAGGGTGATAAGTCAACTCACTGCAACATACACCTGATTTGCGCGGCCCCATTCAGCAAGGTGGTAGCGGACACCACGATAAGGCACGAACAATTCGTCGCATGCACCAAATCCAGCATCCGCCAGGTAAACCTTGCCTGGAGGGATTGTAAAATCAGTGAGACGTGCCACGTTGTAGACACGAGCGTCCGCTGCGGATCCTTGAAAGCCGCTCAACATGTACGTGAAACGCATGTCGAAGTCGCATGCAGCAAGGCAATTTTGAGTTAAATTGCCTTTGCGGTCACGAGCGGCATCGCGATCAGCAGCTGAGGGATGGCAATTGATGTGCGTGCCGTCAATAGCGCCGATAACGTTTGCGAAGTACGGGTATAGTTTCGTTGTCTCAACAATTTGAGGGGGTATCGGAGTGTCTGCGTCGGGGAGCCGGACGTAAGTGGAATAGATTGGGCGGGAGGAGAATGCGATGAGAATGCGTTTGAAGTATCTGAAAGGAATAAAATTAGTACGCATAGCTAGGGGTAAGAGTGGGGGGACGCACTTCGATATAGTATCGTTTGAGCGCTGGAAACGCTCAGCAAGGTGGCGTACAGAAATGCCTGTAACGCAGGCATATAGGAAGATGGCTAGCTGCTCTTCTAGGGTGACGTGCTTTGAGTCGTTGATCCCGCCATTGCGAAGTAATTGAAGTAGGATGATGAATACGTGGCGATGCACGCCGAGCTCACATCGAATCCGCTCTGGATGGCCATTCAGCAGTTCGTTGACCCAGCCAACCCCCGTCAGGATTGACATGTGATAGGGTTGTTTGTCGTAGTAGGTAGTAGTGTATGCGTTTACAGCGATCCCCGCAATGTTGATGACTTCGGAAGCCGACGAGACCACGCGCTGAAAGAACTGAATGATGGCTTGGAGAAATTTTAAGTCGGATTGTTCAGCGTCTTCTACACTCTCCTCCAAGTCCTCATTAGACTCATCTTCCTCATCTCCTTGGTCCTCCTCATCCCTCTCATGATCCCTCGAGCCTGATGTTGTTGAATCCTCGTCATCGACCTTGTCACGGTATAGCAAGAGGTTGGAAAGCATGGCCGCGGTGTGCGTATACTACACGCGCATATTGATAACAACTGATCAGCGTGACATCGGTTTCAAGCTCCGATCAGGGCGTGCTTACTTAACATTGTTTTTTTCTTTTCTGAATTTCTCGAAGTTGGGCGAAATTGTGATCCCGAACAGACTCTAAGGGTAGACGCTGCCTTCTTACTCCAACCACCATCATCCTCACCAGCGAGGTGCCCGCCGGCCTTTCCGCCCCACTCTTCATCAACATTATTACCTGGTCTTCACGACCCACAACAGTATGTTTGCCTGTATAGTTTTCCAAGTATGTCATTTGTCTTTTCATCTTCGATGCACGCCCAGTAACCTATACAGATTTTTGTCGTAACTAATCATTACCCACCCCCGGTCCACCATGTCTATCTAGTCATGTCAACTTCAAGTGACTCGGGTGATGGTCCTCTGCCGGATTGGGTGGTAGTATGTGATACATGTGGTGACGAGCTCAAGTGGTTTATATGTCGTAGCTATGAAAATGGAAACCAAGGACGGTGGATGGTCAAGGCAAGTTTATTTCTTTCACCCTCGGTGTTCTGTTCCCTAACCGATCATCATCCAGTGTACAAAACCTGATGGTGGCAAGAACACGCGCAGCAAAACCACGAAGCACTGCCAGTTTTTCCGCTTTGCTTACCGTCGAAAGGGCAGCCCATCATCATCTCCCAAAGCCACAGATTCTCGGCGTCGCAAATCGCCGCATCGAAAATTGAGGCCCAAAGTGAAGTGCTTCGTCATTGGCTGCAATTCCCACAGAGTCAATGCGGCTTGCTCGCGGCGTGTTTGCCGCAAGCACTGTCGTGCCTTAGGTGGCTGTCAAGGGGTCGCAGATCACATTGATATGCATGGCCCATCAACAGAAAACCTCGTGTTGGATGACGAACCACACAATGACGAACTGCACGACCTACACGATCTTGCGCCTGCACCCCCACCATCAGCTCCCGCCGCAACCTCTGCTGACAAGGGCAAGGGCCGTGCGGTGTCTGAAGATGATGAGATTGATCAACTGATATCTTCAGATCCTCCTCCTGTCCAGGATGCCGGCACATCTGGATCGTGTACCCTCAAACCACGATTTGCACGACAGATGCCACCCCAGTTCACTCAACAAATCGCCCGTGAGCAGTCGCTAGAGGAGGAAGACCGCCGTCGTGACGCTGCGCGGATAGAGAGTGCATGACGTGCGAAGTATAGTGTCACCGTTTACGGCTTCTTAGAGGTATGTTTTCTTTGTATCATTATCTCATTTTTCTCACCAAGATCATTGTAGGATGGTTCCCCTGCCACATGCTTTGTTTTTCAAGGCGGCTTCCATTTCCCGCATTTCTACTGCTCGTACGAGGTCCTTGCAGAACTCGGGCTACCCGCTGTCCATCACAGTGAAGTAGATGAGCTCGCTGTGAGGCCATCTTTACTCCAGCTCCTCAACACATCAACATGCCATTGGCAGGGCATCCGCCAGGACCATATGGTTGTTGTACGTGAGGGTGACGTGTTGTTCTTGAAGCATGCCCGCGTCACAGATTGCCACGAGCTAGACGAGCTCCTTCTGACTTTGTCGCCACGCGATGCGAGTAGTACTCAGCCAAACATGCGCACTCACCTTGCCGCTGACCGTGCACATGTTTGTGCTGCCAACCGAGAGAGCCAACAACCAGCTGGACTCGAACCATCCCCTCCAACTCTCCCTTCCTGGTTGCAGCTTCCACCACCTCGTACCTCACTAGTTCCGTCATCAAGTGAACTTGAGGTCGATCAAATGCTCTATGGTACTAACTCACCCTCACCCATCCGGAGGCCACGCACTGGCGGCATCCACAGCCGCCAACATAGCGCCAGCACTGATGCCCTTGATGAAGAACCTGCAAGCGACCAACCTGTCATCATCACGACTCACCGCAAGCATCCAGCTCATCGACGTTCATCCACACCTCTGATCTCACCGTCACCTCCACGGAAATTGCAGGCCTTCGTCTGACATATCGCCGTCAGGTACAGCGCTCTTAGGAATCACACGAGCGGGATTATCCACGATGGCACGAGACCGCTCAAGTCGTTCACGAAGCTGGAAATGTGATTGACCACGCAAGGCATGCACCGCCTCAACAGCCTTGTGGTCCGGGTCTTGACATGTCTTGCTGCCTGGGGTAATACTGTTGGTGCAGCTGATGATTGCGCACTGGTTCCCATGCTCGGCCATATGCAAATGACAAAAGCGGTCATTTACTGACCGCAGAGACTCGAAGCAGTAAGGAACTGAGCAGCATGGTCTGCTGACTGTGACCCCATCAACAACAACAATGCGAACAAACTGTGCAGCTGTAGAGACAAAAATTACGTCAATGAGATTGTCGACAGTGTAATTTATTGACGGATAGACCTGCATCAGTAGAAGCCTCATATACACGGCAACACTTTGTGCATTTGTGATGGCGAGCATCAGGCTGCCCGAAGGAACGCATACGCTGGTTGCGATGTGCCATGGCATCATTGAACCGCTCTGATTGAGTCCCGGTCTGTTTGACGATGAGGGAGCGCTTGCGATGACGGCAGTCCTCGAGAAGAGAGATAATTATGAAGGTATCCCAAACATGGTCCAGTGTGACCTCAGGCGAAGGCCACTGAAGAGGAAACTCGTTTTGACGGCTGACAGAAGAGTTGTAGATTCGGGCACAGTTAGTTCCCGACGTGCTTGAGATATGGTCAGTTACCCGACTTAGACAGTGCGGCAATGTAAACGCACCAAGCGACATGCATCATGGTCTTCCAGAGCTGACCCACCCCAATATCAACATAGTGGTGCGTACCAACTTGAATGGCATCAGGCAGTCCTTCCGTGTAGTCGTAGTAGATACGGTCCTTATCACCGTGACTGACTTTGTAATTGTGGTGATAAGTGATTTTGCAGCCTGGCACCCATTCAACATTGACTTCGGCTAGCTACAATGAGACGGACATAACACGCACATTCGCATCGCATTGCAACATCATATGCAGGCATTGTCCCATGTTCGAGACTCACATACACAACTCGGACTTGTTCAACCTTGTTCAAAAGCAACCCGTTTGCTCGTCGTTCACAAGTTGCTTCTGTGCACATCTTGAACAGAGGGTAGAATGTCTTGTAGGCTATACAGTCCTCCGTCAGTAACGACTTGAGTCAAATTCACACCGGCACTGACTCAGGCCATGAGGATAACCGAATTGTTTGAACAGTGAGTGGGTGTTGTGCTGCAGCGTGAATCTGTCTTTCCAGATATCGTGTTTTAAGGTGGACCAGCAGATTCGCACTGAGTCTTGTGTCAGGGAGCATGCGGAGCCCAAAAACAAAGACACGCTAGGAGGCATGAAGTCCGGAGGTGTAGATACATCATATGTTGCAGGCTGGGCTAATATCATGTCTTCCTTGACAGCAGAGGCCAAGGTAACAAAGGTCAGAATAGTCTCGAGTGAGAGTCCATGGATATTTGAGAGTGCTTGGCCTAAACATACAAGCTCGACCATTGTAGCAACCAATTAATACTATGAGCCGCACTACTAGTGACAAAAGAAAGACTATGTTTGGTGCTATTTGTGGTCGGCCGGAATAGGCAGACGGACCGGACAGACAGACAGACAGACAGACAGACCGGACTTTCGAGAAATCAGGTGCCCTCAAAAAAACTGCGTAGTTGCATTTCCGCAAAGCCTATTTGTACCTATTTGCTCAGGCCAAATCATACCGAAAATACGAAAATACCTTAAGCTTGTGACCCGTCACAACCTCACCTAATGCTTTGCAGATTCGTGCTCTCACTAGAGATATTTCTGGAATCGCTCGGAGCATCCAGCGAGTGCTGCAATCTGCGAGCATACTCATAGCGCGGGAACGAAAACATGGAACTACAGAGTTAATGTCGGAAAAAGGTAAAGTGCCCTTTTAATGCCGCCGGCTTACAAGTTTGATCACATGCGTTAAAAGGCACGTTATAACGTACCTTTCAAGGACACATGAGATAATTTAGATGTCTTGTGATCGTGAGAAGTACTATCATTATGCCTTAGTATCAACGACGTGCCAATTCGGAGTCATATCAATACCATTCAAATCTTCTGAAACACTTTGTTTTGCCCACACTAAGCTCTATCATCATTGTTGTCACGCAGCTACTACTATGGCTCCGAATCGTACTGCACCATCTAGAAGCAAGTATAACTATACAGAGGAAACACTTACAGGACGGCGCTTATGTCCTCACTGTGACGGGAAGTTCAAGCCCCAGGGCTTCAAGAAGCACGAAGCAACCTGCAAGAAGCATGCGGATGTTGAGAGGGAGCAGGAGGTGTTTGGTCTCGAATATCAAAGGGACCAGCAACAAGGTGAGTTGAATTTATCTACCAATCAATAACTAGTCAGCGCTTTGTTTTATTGATCTATCGAGGTATCTAGCTCGAAGGAAGGCTCGTAAGGTGACAAGGCTTCCTGAAACAATAGCTGGCCCGTCACTGAGCGCCAGCGATGGTCAGTCGGCTGCAAATGTAGATTCTTCCATTCCTCCTGGTGCATCCACCCGTTTTTTGTTCCCCGTGCACCTCTAATGTCATTCACTCGTAGCTGACCTATCTGCTCCGGCTGATCCCATGGACCTAGATCTGAATGATTTCGAATCTTACCATGGGAATGAGAGTGTCAACATCCCAGGTACGTCTGAGTATATTAGTGTTGATAGTTTGTTACATTACTGATTGATTTCTCTGTACAGTTTTCAGTCGACCAGCGTCTGTTGAACCTGGTCCTCTAGCATCTGTTGAAACCGGTCCTCCAGCGTCTATCCAGCGGCCCCTCGAATTCAAAATGGAATATCATCCATCCAGTGGTCATGAACCACTGTTCCAAGCATTCGATGAGTTTCGCGTTAACGCACATGATGCTCCCGATGGCCTTCGTGTTGATGAAGAGCCATGGCGCCCTTTCTCCTCACGAGGTGACTTCAAATTTGCGGAAATTGCTCTGGACGCTGCGCTTAACAAGTCGCATATTGATGGACTACTATCTCTGATTGCCCGCATCGCGAGAGGCCAGATTAAAATAACACTAAAAAACGATGCTGATTTCCGCAATGCATTGCATAGCGCGAGTACTCAAGTGACGCTGGTATGTAGCTAATGTTTCTTCTGGATCATTATGTTACAGAAACCTGTCTAGTTTACACAACACAAGATTACTGTGCCATACAAACAAGAGGAGCGCGTGTATGAGGTCCATTCTTTGCCCATATGGGAATGGGCCCTTGATTTACTAGAAAATCCCTTGCTCGCACCTCATTTCGTCTGGGACGCTCAACGTGTATTCAAACATAATAGTACGGGATTTGAACGGTTTTACGATGAACCGTGGACAGGCGATCAATGGTGGGATGTCCAGGTACGTAACGGTTGTTTCATAAGTACTCTCACTGATTAGTTGTTTTTCAAAATCAATAGTCCGGTCTTCCGCATGGTCTTGTCGCGGCCCCCTTTTGCTTCATATTGTATGCGGACAAGACAAGACTATCATCACACGGTACAGTAAAGGCGTATCCCGTTGTGGTACGTTGTGCCAATTTACCAGTAGGAATTCGGAATGGTGAGGGCATTGGCGGCGGCCGTGTAGTTGGTTTGTTGCCTATCGTAAGTTATCAAATATTCAACATACCTTAATTTGACGAATGGAATAATGACAGGTTTCCGAAGACGCAAGCGAAAACGGCAAGACAGGTTTCACAAATTTCAAGCGTGTGATATGGCATGAGTCATTTGTGAAGTTCTTGGAACTGGTCGCACAATACTCGAAGACAGGCTATTCATTCAAGTGCTTTGACCAGATTCTGCGCTGGCTGTTTCCCATCTTACTGATACTTTCCGCTGACTATGAAGAACAGTAAGTAATTTGGTGTACCGGTGCACGAACTTCGATCTAACAGCCCCTGTAGGTGTATGATGTCGCTGATTCGTGGCCATCATAGCAAATGCCTGTGCCCGGTATGCATCATACCACTTGACGAACTTCATGATCTCTCGAAGTCGTTTCGGTTGAGATCAATGCAAGACGCAATAGCTGCACTTAACGTCTACGAGGAAAGCAAGGCTCGCGGTGAAGAACTGTTGAAGGTGCTAGGACTACGTCCTATCAAGGTAAGCTACATACATTTATATTGTATCTACATTAATCAATTGTGAACTTAGAACGTCTTGTGGAGTGTTTCGCACTCTGACCCTCATGATGCGATCAGTCTCGACCGCTTACATGCTCTTCATTTGGGAATTTGGAAGCATCTACTCAACGAGTTGAAGAAGATTCTCAAATTCTTGGGACGTGAGGCAGAGTCATTGTTTGAAGAGGAGTAAGTCAAATATATTTAGATTTTGTGGCTCTTGCGCTCATCATTTGCAGAATTGCCAACTTCCCTCGATGGCGCAAGTTAAATCACTTCAACACCGTCATCCACATGTCATTCAGCGATGGAAATAAGATGCAGGATTTATCTAGAGTATGTACCATTATGTTTTGTTGTTGCTCTATCTAACCGCTGCAAAGCAATCTCTCTACTCAGCATTGAATATTTTGAAGCAAGCTGATAGCCCAGACGGGTACCGACTGCTTCGTGTCATCAGCAGCTACCTGCAGCTTGACAGTTATATTGGGTTTAACGTGCATACAACAAGCACGTTGAACGCCATTGAAGCCGAATTACTTGTTTTTAATGATGCACTCAAGGTAGGATCTTGTTCCTTTGCTGAAATAGAACTTAACCAATTGTTTCTCACTCTAGGACTACGCGCAATGTGCTGCAGAATCTCCTATCGAAGATTTAAGAGTCGACTGGGACTTCCCAAAGACTCACCTCTGGAAACACGTGACCCGCGACATCCGGATGAAGGGCGCGGCATGCAACTACAGTACTCGTCCAAATGAGAAGCTTCATGGCCCTTTGAAGGAGGCTTACGAGCGCCAATCGAACAGAAAGAAAGTGGCTGAACAGGTGAGTTGTGATATTATGCCTTACATTGTGTCACCTTTTGGTAGACCCACTGAACAATACCGTAGATTCTTCGTGTCAACCAAAATAAATTCGCAATCAACCTGTTGAGAGGACGTGTTGACACATTTGACAAGCAGCGCAACCTCGAGGACGATGAAGTTGATGATCTGGACGCTGCGGCTCAAGACAATCCAGCTGTTGCACAAGGACATATCAAACTTGGCTCGCCGCAGCAACTCAAATCTATCCAAGACATCGAGAATATCTGTAGCCCGACTGACCGTGCTTTTCAAGACTTTCGTAGGAAGTTCTCCAGATTTCACAATACATCTTTGCCTGGGTATGGATATGAACTGAGGAGATGGATTACCCTACCCGCCAATTTCGAGGTGTGTTGATTGTATCTTTTGATGCCTTGAATTGACTCTCTTCCAGATTTGCGCACATCACTACCTCAAGGTCAACTATGAGTCGACCGTTGACTGGAAACAAGCTACCGATTACCTTCGGTGCAATCCGAGTTTCCACGGGCAACCACGCTATGACTGCGCCCTCATACAGCTCAATCCGGAAAGATCAGTATTCGTTAAGCTTATACTCATGTTCAAGTGCCATCTCCCAGATGTTGGGTCTTTTGAGTTCGCACTGGTCCAGCCATATACTGCGGGCACTGGTATTTCTCGCAGAATTGACCGTGAACTCAAGTTCACTCGTGTCAAGGCTGTTCCTAGAGCAAACTCCATATTTGTTCTGCTCGCATCTTTCATCCGTGGTGCTGTTTTGTTCCCTGACCGCGAACATCAAGGTGAATTTATCGTTGTTGACCATATCGATAGCTACATGTTGACTCACATTGTGTTACATTCCTCAATGTGGTTTCTTTGGATTTGCATGTATACTGATAACTTATGCATTCACAGGCGCATTTCTTATTGACGCACGATCAGGAACTCACGGCAACTGGATCAGCCACAAAGATCGAGTACGGGCAAGACTACGACTTTTACCTGGAACGTTTGTTTAAACGCAGCTCATGGGCCATCAGTGTGATGGATTACTACAACAGGGAAGTTTTCGGCGCAAGCTCAGTTACAGTGAGCACTTCGACCCCATCCTCTCAACCTCGCACCTGGGAGGACGATTTCCTCCAGCAGTTAGATGCTCCTGCTCCTGCTCTCGCCCCTGCTCCTGCTATCGCTCCCACTCTTTCTCCCACTACCGCTCCTGTATCCACACCTCCGGTTCATGTTGTCTCCAACAATCATACTACCATGTCCATTAGCCATGGACTCGGAGGGGCCGTCACCTCTGCCACAACTCAGCTTCAAGTTGATATTGGCCAGTTGTCGTTGGAAAATGACTCCGAGCCGTCTGCATCCAGTGGTCGTAGATCGCCCGCTGCTCGTCAACGCCAAACTACTGGTATCCAGCCTATTACTCAACCCGAACTATACCCAGATGCAGATCTGATCATTCCGCTGGCCCCTCCGCCAGCCGAGCGACGTGCTGCTTGCGGCAGACCTAAGAAGTCGGCGAGGTGAATCATGGTAATGTTACACTGCACGCGTTGTCTTACTCATGGTTTTGTTTCTCAATTTAATTGATCGAGTCTTTTACCTCTCCAATTTTTTGTCCAATTTTCCTTTGTCATGTTTACTGGCCGCTTGCATTGTTGTTGATTTTGAGTCTGTTAATGAATCACTTTATTCTCACCAACCACTGAGGACAGTCCAGACTGGTTCGTGCTTATATTGCCATATGACAAAAGGTCGGATTAAAGGTTTCAATGGCTAGTGAGACCTTGAAAGTTTGTGTAAGTCATTCCATTTATGGGCGGATCATAACAATGACAAACAAGTCAAGTTCGACAATTGCAGCAGGCTTTTAAGTTTTAACTAGTTCATATTATACCAACGATGCTGCCAATCATCTCGGGAATAATGACAATAATCATTCCTCCTTCCCAACCTATCATCAGGACTGCTAATATTAGTAAATCGTGTTTAAATTTTCATTCTATCACTCACATGAAGTTTAAATTGTCGCTGTCAAGGACTCCATGATTCAGATCATGGCAAGCGTGAGCTTATCATTATATTGACAATCTTTGCATCTTGTCCTCATTCTTTCATGCTGTTCGATTCGACTGCCCCAGCTGCGGGCTACATTGCAGCTTTCATTGACGCTGCGCAGCAGTATGTCACTGCAAATCCTGGCAGAGCAGCTTTGTTGGGACTCTTTTATACGCCGGTTCTCATTGTTTTGCTCAATATCCTTCGGCAGCTGGTGAGTATCTAGGAGCCCCCTGTTTGCGTGTCCACTGACTGGTGTTGCTAGGTTGTTGCCTGAGACCCTTCACTACCTCCCCCTCATAAGAGGCTGCCAATTTTCTCTCCTTCCTTACTGTAACGAGGTCCAGGATCAGCAACACAATCGATTTGTCAGTTCTGGATCAACTCGTGCAAAAAACTTGGTGCTGTGGATGTCTTTTTCTTAATGATTTGACTTCTAGCTGCTGATCGTTGTTTTCCAGATGATCAGCGACACAATCAATATGTCAGTTCTGGATCAACTTGTGCAAAAAACTTGGTGCTGTGTGCCCCAGCTGTGTGCTACGTTGCAGCTTTCATTGACGCTGCGCAGCAGTATGTCACTGCAAATCCTGGCAGAGCAGCTTTGTTGGGACTCTTTTATACGCCGGTTCTCATTGTTGTGCTGAATATCTTTCGGCAGCTGGTGAGCATCTAGGAGCCCCCTGTTTGCGTGTCCACTGACTGGTGTTGCTAGGTTGTTCCCCGAGACCCTTCACTACCTCCCCCTCATAAGAGACCACCAATTTTCTCTCCTCACTTACTGTAACGAGGTCCAGGATCAGCGACACAATCAATCTGTCAGTTCTGGATCAACTCGTGCAAAAAACTTGGTGCTGTGAATATCTTTATCTTAATGATTTGACTTCTAACTGCTGATCGTTGGTTGCTAGATATATTATCCCTACCCATCACCAGTTGTCAGTTAACCCACCCCCCCCCCTCCTCCAGTACTCCCGCCTGGTGCAAGTCAACTGGATTCCGGTGTGTCATCTGTTACCCCCCAGTACTCCCACCTGGTGCAAATCAACCAGGTTCCGGCGCGTTGTCAGTGAACCCCCCCCCCCCAGTACTCCCGCCTGGTGCAAGTCAACCGGTACCGGTGCGTCGTCTGTTGTACCCCTCCTGCACATCCCTCCTCTCGCTCCCAGACGACCATTATCCCATCTGCATCCAGTGCTCCCCCCAATATTCACACATTGAAGGCCCACCCCTCCCTCTCCGATTTGATTTTTAAAATAATTGTATTTTTGACTACATTTATCAATATAAATATGAATATGATTTATTATTATTTTGAAATTCTGGATATTGGTCTTGCAAGGGCATCGAGACACACAAAGACTCTTTACAATGCTTACATGATCATTTCATGCCCTTAAAAGGTGGCTCGTCCAGAACCATTATAGTGCCTTTTAATGATTGGGACAAGCTATTATAAGTGCCTTGAAATATTATCTTACATCATTAGTGTGTATTAAAAGGGTACCGTGTGAAAAGTACCCTTAAAATGTCTTAAATTGACTTCGGAGGCTCGCTAGAAATTTCCGACATTTTTTGCGTCACTAAAGCCTAAGAGCCCGTTCAGCAACTGAAATGTTGCAAAACCAAACGAAATTGTTGGTGGCACGTGATGCGGAGTTTCAAGCGGAGTTTCAAAATCGTCGGTAAGATCGATAGTGATAAGATACATGTCTAGTAGCTATACTATAAGCTACCATGGATCCAGGACATGTGCACCCACAGTTTGTTCGACCTCTTGTGACCCATCTAGCTCAACCTGCAGACCAGACTCACCAGGCACAAGCTGCAGTTCGCCAACGCATTCTTCGCTACATTGCTCTTATCCTCAATATACTACTTGCTGCCACAGCACAGATTCTTCAGCAGCAGATCCCCCCATCTGACCGCGAGCCCTACCATACATCAGCCCTCACAGGGCAAGAGTGGGTGATTGAATTAATCACTGGCCACCCGGAACGTATCCGCTGTGAGCTTGGTGTCAATGCTCATGTTTTTGCGAGCTTGATCAATGACCTTCGCGACCTTGGGCACACTGATTCACGCTATGTGTCGCTCGAAGAACAGCTGGCCATTTTTCTGTACACCTGTGTAACAGGATTAACTGTCAGACATGTTGGAGAACGATTCCAGCGATCAAATGCTACTATTTCAAAGTATGTGATTTCATGTATGTCTTACACCTCAGCTTACTCTGCCTATTAGATATTTCCGAAAGATGCTAGATATATTTGCATCTCACCCCTTCTACACCACTCACGTTCACCTTCCCATTGTCAATGCACCTGTCTCCAGTGCAATTCACAACAATCCAAAACGTTGGCCATACTTTCGTGATGCTATTGGAGCCATTGATGGTAGCCACATCCATGCATTCCCTCCATCAGCAAGCCGCCACCTCTACTACAACCGAAAAGGTTTTGTCTCTCAAAACTGTCTCTTTGTTTGTGACTTCGACCTCAAGTTTATGTTTGCACTTACGGGATGGGAGGGATCAGCAACAGATTCACGGCTCTGGGGCGAAGCTCGTAACAATGGCTTGGATATCCCACTAGGAAAATATCTTCTTGCAGACCTAGGGTTCCCCTCATGCCCACAGCTTTTGGTCCCTTACCGTGGTGTTCGTTACCATCTGGCTGAATGGGGTCGTGCCAATGTCAGGTATGATTTACAGTTCTCTTTTGTAGTCCAGCTCATCCAATAATATTTTTAGGCCTGTCAACAAGGAAGAACTATTCAATCTTCGTCATGCATCTGCTCGCAATGTTATCGAACGGATTTTTGGTGTTGTGAAGCGGCGCTTTCGCATCCTTTTGATATCCCCTGAGTACAAGATTGGAATTCAAGCTCGTATTCCTGCAGCACTATGTGCTCTACACAACTACATATGTACCCAGGACCCAGGTGAAGGGCCTCTGCCTCAGAGGGCTGTCTTCAATGACAACCCCACCAATCAAGGGCAACCCAATGATGTGTATCATGATCAACCTGATCATGATATGATTGTTGAGGATGATACAAATGCAAACAATTTTCGCGACCGCATGGCCATGGAGATGTGGGAAGACTATCAGAGGATCTTACTTGAGCGTGAAATTGATGAAGGCCCAGAGGAAGAGGAAGACATAGATCAGTACTATGGCAGCGAGGATGATGCCAACGAAGATGTTCTATAACTTTCACAATGTATGGTAGTTTACATTGTGCTACAAACGAAGATGCGCTGCATATCGAAGTGACTAAAAACGAAAAACGACGAATGCAAAGAATGAAGGAACGTGAGGTATGAATTATTACAGCGCGCCGTACACCCCATTGGCAGCCTGGCGGAGGACTGATTCCAAGTAAGGTATACAATTCTCTGGCCTGCTGACCAAGTAGGTGGAAGAGACCGCTGGGCTCCTCGCGAACACATTCATGAGGGTGACCTTGTCAGACGGCGAGATGCGCTCGTCATCTTGCATCATGTCTAAGGCCTGCGTGCATTCATCCGCTACCCGACCATCATCGGTCTTGGTCATCGACGTCTCGAGACTGTCCGTCAAGCGGTTGATGGAACCTTGAAGGTTCATGAATGCAGCGGTATTCGCGGCGTTGTTCGCGGTGTCCTTGGTGGCCTTGGTGCCTGTGCGTTGACTAGTCACACGCGACATAGAGCTGCCACCACGCGTCGACAACTTCGGCTTTTTGTCGAGGGAGGGGGAATTCACCTGCGATACCGAAGTTTGGGTGGTAGTGGAGGAAAGGACCATGTCGGAATGCGAACGTTTTCCGGTGCTACTGTGAGTGTATGCGATTGACGATGGGGGAGGGGGGATGTTCGTGGAAGCGCGAGCTACCATTCCAGGATCAGTGGATGGAAGGGCAGACATGATTTGGTCCCATTCGAAGCCGGGGCTCGCAGCTGTGCGAGCACTGGGCACACCACCCGCATTGCGAGCGCCGGGCACGCCAATGGCAAGACCCATAGCCTCGCCACTTGCCTCAGCATGAGTAGTGGGAATCACTGAGCCACTGGCTTCAGCGCTGGCAGAAGCAGCGGGTGCCGATGCCTGAGTGGGAAGCACTGATCCACTGGCTTCAGCGCTGGCGGAAGCGGCAGGTGCTGATTCCTGTGCGGCTAACAAAGCCGGGTTATAGGCGGCAGCGCCCTCAGCGCCACTCCCATTTGGCAGGATCTCCAACATCTTGGGCCAAAATCTCCACCCAGTGTTTTTGAAGAATCGCATTGCCTCAAAACAAAAGGTAAGCAGCAGCTGGAGATCTCTGAACATGTTCACATACCTTGTTGGCCACACTGGCGCTGAGAAATTGTCCCCACTGAACTTCCGCCGCTTCCCCCTGAATATTTGCTCCATTGACATTGTCCCAATGACAACCAGATCGATTGTTACAATATCGCTCGATGGCATTGTGAGTCTGCTTGAGCTGTATGTGGGTGGTGTAGATCTTAGTGAGCAGTCACTGCTGATAATGACATGGGAATAGTGATGTTCCGGCCCGGCTTGGCCCAAAAGCCACGGCTTTGGCCTGGCTTCAGACGGCTCTGGCCTGCAAAAAATCAAAGCCGGGCCAAAGCCGCAAATGACGGCTGGCTTTGGCCCGGCTCTGGCCTGAGCCGCGGCTCGAGTAGGGAATGTATGATTCTGACAAGATTCACCTGCCAGTGTGCGCCTCAGAACGCAAATCGCAGCGATCGATAGCACTGCCCTCACGACATCAGGGTAGGTCGAGGTATTCAGCAATTTTTTGATGTATTATACCCCTGCGCGCAATATATTAATGCTGTTTGCTCCACTACAAGTGCTGTGAGATGGGCCTTATGTTGGTGCCTGGCGCCTGATTAGTTGTAAAATGTTGATGGCGGTCAAGACTCTGATCACAGTAAAGTAACGAAAATTTATTGATTTTTATGCTGACATTAATGACTTTTGTGCCAGAGTAACGAGAAATTGCCGGCGGTCGAGGAGAGATCATCAGGTGGTGAAAGGGAACGAGCGGCCGTGCGAGAGTGACAGGAGGTGCAAGAGATCGAGGTCAGCAACGAGAGAGAGCGGTAGATTGTGGCGGCAGCATCAGGTTAGTGGGAGCACGAGGAAAGTCCTCATTGGGTGTGGGGCGACGACAGGATGGGTCTTGGTTGGGTGAGTCGGTGTGAGTAGTGAGGGTGGTAGTAGCAGGGTTGCAGGAGGTTGTTGGGGTGGTGCTTGAAGGTGGGGAGCGACGGGATGTTGTGGTCGACAGCGGCAGGGATAGGGATTGAGTGTATACGTGTACACACACATACGGTCGAGGGTGGGTGATGGTGGTATCGACAGCATTCGGCTGCATCGCAATGATGAACGCAGTGTTGGCGGCAGAGAACAGACCAGCCTGGTAGATAAAATGGATAGGTGTCGAAAAAATGAGATCTTGCAAACGAGCCCACCATGGAAGGGGCCGTGGCTGCGCGCTTGCTGCACCTGCCGCAGTAGTACAAGTATCAAGAGCAATAGGTGTCGTGGACGTCGAGGGGGCTGAATACGCAGGTCTTGCGCCTGGTATGGTATTAGGCTGAGGGTGTGGACGATCTGCTGGCGACCGCGGAGCAACAAACAATACCTGCATGAAGATCGTCAAACACTAGAAATTGACACAGTGGAGAAAGACATACCAATGTTCATTGTCGTTGTCGATGGTCGAGGTGGCTAAAAGCCGCGGCTCAGGCCGTCGGCTTTGGCTTTTCAGAATTCCAGGCCGGGCCAAAGCCCTGGTTAGGCCGTCAGTGTGGCCTGGCTTGGCCCGGCCTAATTTGGCCTGGCTTGGCTCGGCCCACGGCTTGAAGCCGGGCCGTGCACATCACTACATGGGAACACATACCGATGCCCATTTCGTCTTGCATTGCGGTCCGGTTTTGGATGGGCCATATGTCCCCATTCCTGCAATCATGTTCGAAGCCTCGTTGAAGACCTCATCCTTGAAGGTGGTTCCAGCGATCTTGGATTTCTGGGTGATAAGATAGTCTAGCAGGGCGTCAACTTCAGCTTCATTCCATTGGGCTTTGGGCTGCTTGTTTTCGTCCTTTCGAGCCATGTTGATAAGTTGAAACTGAGCGCACACTAGGAGTACAGTTACAGTTGCGAAGATGCGCTTTCGCTGCTGGGGGGTGAGTCGATAGGTGGTGGTACAAGGTATGTTCATAGTCAGAGGGAGAGATTATTGAAACTCCGACATACCGGCTTGCATGCCGCTCGTACATTTCGTTCTCAAATATTTGTAAACATCAGTTGCTGAACGGGCTCTAAGAGAGTCTAAGTACATGCACTCGCTTAACCCTCCAATTGGGGAAGTTTCAATTGATTATACTTTTCGCATTTGACTACTTTCAACCCTCCGACGCTGGTCTCGCGTTTGCCAGCCAGCATCCGTTTTCAGTCACGAATCGTACCTAGTCAAGTTCAACACGTCAATCGATACGCATCCCGATACCCATAGGCGGTTCAACAAAAGGAACCATGCTTGCTCATGGTGAATGGGGAATCCACATAGGGCTCCATGAGGTTCGCGAAACAGTTCACAGCTGCTAAGGAAGTCGGCGAAAATAAAGGTCGTCAAAGGCGCAAAGGTCTATCTTGAAGTTTTCCTTGATATTCCAGTTTGCGCAAGGTCTGTGATGCCTTCATTTCTTTGCGTAGACTTTGACTCATATCCTCAAGGGACACGGAACTCGTATGGGTAAAGGAAAGGGGACGCTCGAGTTTTGAGCTACTCAATTGGTAAGTTCTCCCTTCATGAGGCTCGCGTATCTGCAGCGTTCCCAGCGGTCGCGTCATATTTGAGATTGGAGGGACGCCAATAAGAGAGCCCATCCAAACTCACCCCTTCATAGCTTTACTACAAGATCCCATCGATAATGGCATTCATCATGCGTTCGACGCTTCTCAGACTTGGAAATTGAGTCCTACATCCAGAACCCCCACCAAACAACTTTCATCAATGCATCTCCGGCAGAACAGACAGTTGAGACTTCGTAGCACTGTTTTGTTCACTTTGCAATGCATTCATATTTTGATTGCAAGGTTCAATTGTAGAAATTGGAATACTGCGTGTCCGTCGCTCAAGGTAATTCCCTCTCATTATTAATCACATTAGCCACCTGGCTCGTATTTGGGCAGTTAAACGCATATCTACAAAACACGTAAGACACCCTGCCCCAATCAGAAACTCAGACTCACCGCTCATAACTCCAGATACATCTTAAATGCATGATGCACGAAAAGCCTTCGCAACCAAGCTTCAAACTTTGCTCCACGCAGCATTTCAAACCCACGATAGTGTTTCAGCGCATTAGTCGCTCTGAAGATCAATGCTCCATCACAGTGCTATAGCCATGTAACTACATTGATGGCTGGCGCCCATCATGTGAGCGTAGCATTTTGATGTAGTTTGATAATGCGGCCAGATTCACAGCGAACCAAGCTGCGGGCGCTGGGTCCATCCTAGGCAGGCGGGGATTCAAAGCGGATCAGCAAAATATATACAACCGGTTTCGACATTCCAGACGTAGGACATAGCGAAGGTGATACGTGACGTGCATGGTGTCAGCAACTGACTTTCGAAGGTGCAGTCATGGATGTCGAAAAACACCTTTCTGGTATTGTTCTGGTACGTCGCTAATCATCATGACAGGCTAGTAAATGAGCGCTCGAGCCACTGCCCGTTCTTATCTCGACGCTGAGCGACGTGGTTTATTTCGAGTCTCCTTATATCATCATCATATGGACGCAAGGAACTCATTTGAATAGTACGATATCACGGGAGTTCGGATCATGAACCTACTTCCCCCGTTCTAATCGATTTTATCGAAAATAGTTGCTGTGATCAATAAAGATTCCGATTCAAGGGGCGGATATCCAGTCTGATCGCTATAAAAGTGCTGGATGGTGGTATGTCTACACGAACTCTATACACTCCATCCCGATATGACTTACGTCTCAAATGATCCTGCTTGGTGGCCGTTCATCAGTTGTGTCCGTCTTGACGGCTATTTTGTAGGTGCGTAAAGAGCAAATGGGATGATGATGCTGACGTCTCACTGTCATTGGCTGCGGTTTCGCAGCTGCATGCTCTGTTGTGGTGGTATATGATTGGGGTGAGCGAGATGATTTTTTCGGAGGGGATCATTGATATATGTATACGGCATTCAAGCATTAACTTTCAGAAAAGAGGTAAGTTGATGTTATGACCTGCGCAGCCATCTTACTAAGAATGATTTAACAGTGCGAACTGATCTGGGTGAGCAAAATCCTATATCAGAAGCAAAAGAATAACGAAGCTGACTTGGGGCAGAGGCAACGCTGGTCCTTCATGACATTTCTTTATATCTGTGTACGTTATGTTATGAGCGCAGTTGACACGACATGCTGACTCTATGGTATGCTAGGTGCGCTACATTGGAGTACTATTTTCTGTGTGCGTTTGCAAGGCCAACAAGTTGACGCTGCACTGTGCTGATAAGCCATATCTCACAACTAGCGTCATCATACTATGTATGTATCCCTAAATACACTGTTTTTGTTTCTTCTGACTGGCGGCATGCAGTAAATGTCCCAGGCCCAATGACAGACGTGGTTTGTATTTGGTACCGGTGCCCAAGATTCCTATTCAACTACTAACTGCACTCCTACACAGGGGTGAGTGGTATTCTTGGACAGCTTAACGGTTCAACATAACGACTGCAACAGCTGTGAGTTCGTTTAAAGTACTCGAATCTACCAATGCATAACTGGGTCTTTCAGGCAACACCCTTCAATTCATATGGACATGGACGCCTGTGGCCGTCAATGCCATGTTGGGCGGTGAGCTCACCTGCGGTGCCTTACCTTACTGAACTTGACTGAAATACGGGCGTGCAAGCCATCATGATGACTCGCATACATGCCATGTATGGGCGATCCAAGAAAATGCTCATCTTCCTCGTTGCACTCTTGCTGGCTTCCACGATCGCCTCTGTAGTTATGACAGTAATGACAAGCATCGGTTCTTCATCGGGTATGCTTTGATTGAAAGTCTTGATCAGATGAAACTCATGGACAAATTCCAGAGGAACATGTGCTTTCTGGCATCCCTATGTGTATTTTTAAGCTTGGCACATATGGGATAAATCTGTATTTTGAGAGTTTGATATCCACCGCTGTATGGGAATTCCTCGCCTTGTTTCTTGCACTCTGGATTGTCATAAAACACTTCCGCGAACTGCGACAATCACCGGCAGGATCGACCATTGGGGACTGTTTCACGGTGTTGATAAAAAGTCACGCATTTTACTTCGTAGCGTGAGTCCGGTTATTTGGATGTTGTTATCTTGTTTCACTGAAGTTCTGTACGTGCTAGCTTTGCTGCTGTGGCTTGCTTGAGCCTTGGAAACATGTCTCCAGAGTTCCTCGTGCGTCTGTTTGTGACAGATGTCTACATCAGGCCACTCATCATTTCCATAGTACTCAACTTCCTTGGGAACTGCTGTCTATAATGGCATTCTTGACTTTACCAAGCTGTTGCAGATGTTTGTGCTGGGACCACGTTTGATCCTTAGTGTTCGGGAATATTACGCCAAGCTCGTGGACAGGTCCGACGAAGGAACAAGGATGGCATCCATTGTTTTCCAGACCGGAGAAGTGTTGACTGGCGGAGATGTTTAGCATGGGACATGATCCAAATGATCAACCATGGTCCATGGTACTGTGCGGGGAACATTTAGACCTCTCAGTTTTGTTGTGGTATTCATTTGGAGCCTCGTTGTTGTAATTATTTTGCATTCGAAGCAATGGGAGGAAAAGAGCCTCATCGTAGTATTTATTTCGAAGTGATTTGGAAGATTAAAAATGGTCTGTGCACACAAAAATTTGATTATATTGTTCGAAGCAGTACACATAGGATAGAACACATCACAGGATATCAAAACGGGAATGGCGCAAAGTACCTTTGCTATCAATATATTACTCAGTCAGTATATCAATATAAATCATAGTCAATGATAGTGAGACGTCAACATCGTCATCTCACTTGCTCTCTACGAACGTACAAAAGAGCTGGAAACACGAGCATAACCGATGAACGGCCAACCGGGATCATTTGAGACCAGGGACATATCGGAATGAGGCGTGTGGAGTTCGTGCAGACATATCGCCGACGGTCCACCATCCATGGCCAGTGCTTTGATAATGTTCTCACGAAAAACGAAAGGAAATAAGGAGTAGTGTGAGAAGCCTTTGTTCGAAGGAAAGTTCAATGTTGGATCTGAAACGTGATGGAACTGAACCCCTTCTCCAGAGGTTCTGCATTTCATTGGTAACCATGTAGTCATCAATCTAGCACGGACCAACTATAGAATTTCATCATGTCAAAGCTGTGTATTGACACGTACCGGCGGGATGATTGGGTGGGCGCAGTCTAGTTCCCACAAGACGTAGTGCTTTTGAGGGAATTCTGACATCAATGGAGCACCTTCAAAAGTCAAGGCTATGCGACGGCGTAGCAGATCAGATCTAACTCACATTATACAGGGCGGCAGCGAACAGATTGAACAACAGACTCTTCATCAAATCCAAATACATGCACTCGCTTAACCCCTCCAATGGGGGTCCTCAATTGATTCTAGTTTGGCCATCACTAGTACTCTCTCGATATTTGCTTAGGACGATGTTCTCATCGCTTACTCCCTTTGACGCTGTGATCGTGTTTGCCAGCCAGCATCTGTTTCCGGTCACAACTCGCACCTCGTCAACTTTAACACGACATTCGACACGTGTTTCGATACCCATAGGTGGTTCAACAAAAGGAACCACACTAGCTTACGGTGAATGGGGAGCTCGCATCAAGGGCATGGACATTCGTTTTCGCGCGAAAAAAGCTTGCAACTGCTGAGCAAAAATAACGGTTGCAAGAGTCTATCCTTGATACGTCAGTTTGTGCAAGATCTGCGATACCTTCGTTTCGTTGCATGAAGTTTGACTCATATCTTCAAGGGAAACGAAATTCGTATGGGTAAAGGAAAGGGACGTTCAAGTTTTGGGCTACTCAATTGGTAAGTTCTCGCTTCATGAGGCTCATCCATTAGCGTACCCGCCGGTCGCGTCATATTTGAGATTGGAGGGATGCCAATATGAGAGGAGTTGGCACGCGAAGGGAGGAATTCCTACCTTTCCAAACTCACCCCTTCACAGCTTTACGACAAGCTTTCAACGATAATGAAACTCGTCACGCGCTCGACGCCTCCACCAAACTTGGACATCCAGAACCCCCCACCACCCAACTTTCATCTCCCGCAGCACAGACAGTGGAGACCTCGTAGCGTTCTTTCGTTCACTTTACAATGCATTCATATTTTGATTACAAGGTTTTGTACAAATTGGATTACTGTGTGTCCGTTGCTCAAGGTAACCCCCTCCCACTGTTGATCGCATTAGCCACCTGGCTCGTATTCGGGCGGTTGAACGCATATCTAAAAAAGACGTAAGGAACCCCGCCCCATCAGAAACGCATACTCACCGCTCATAGCTGTCCAGATACAGCTCTTCATCACTGCAAGTCTTCTTAAACGCTGGATGCTCGAAAAGTCTCCCCAACCAAGCTTCAAACTTTATTCCACGCGGCATTTCAAAGCCACGATAGTGTTTCAGTGCGTTAGTCGCTCTGAAGATCCCTGATCCATCACGGCCTTGAGTGCATTCCATCACATGAACAAGGAGAACAAATACCCACACGGTGCGACAACGACGTCCGCCCATCCTAAATCGCCACCTTCAACCCAAAGCCCCGTCCCCCCTACCTCTCTTTCTGCGCGCTCAAAAAGCTCAACCAATGATTCAATAGCTGCATGAAACTCTTTCCCTCCGGAGATTTGCGCCTCTGGGTCTTGAGCTTGAAGGTACCTGTAAAACGCAGGCACAAGCGTTCGGCTGATATGATCTGATTGAAGGCGGACAAGCGCTTTCGCATCTGCAAGAAACATGGTTTGTGTATGTGAGCGCTTTCAACGCTTTGTTGGGTTTCACCCACATGGATCTGTTGATGGCGGGAAGAGACTCTTATGCGTATATTTTGCAGCGATACTTTATCATCGCCATGGCCATCAGCTTTGTGAACAAACATTTAGATCTTTGGGATGAGCGCACTCTTCGAGAAAGTCAAGGATGACGGTGCTTTCATTAAGCGCGCGAGGCGGATCGAAAGCGTTGAGCATGAGCGCCGGTACTAAACCTTTTGGCGAGACGTTTAGCAGTTCTTGTGGTTTTTGGTAGGGATCGACTTCATCTGATATCCATCAATGCACGCATATAGTCAGTGTCAATGTCATGGGTTAAGGGGTCGGCACATCAACTCACAGTACTACATCATCACGCTCATTAGTCTTCTTTTCACTCAAGTGCGACTCATGGCAAGACTCGCTTACCTTGTACGGAATCTGAAGATATTCCAGCGCAGCCCATACACGTTGTACGAATGGGCAGAAACAGCTTGCGAAGAGGGTGATGTCTTGGTCTTGGGCGTGTTGTTCGGCAGTTTGGAAAGCTGGTCCGGTGCATGAGCGGTGGTAGGATTTGCCGGAGTCGGTCATCGCTGATATGGGTGTGGTTGGTGATGGTGGGTGGTTAACTGCGATTGAACGTCAGTATCAGTTGCAATTGGAATGGATGCGAACCCCTGGTTTTGTGGGGCCCCAGATTACCAACTTGGAAATCAACCACGGAGAAGCATTAGGATTGGCAAAGCAAAGGCGATAGCACCAATATTAAAGATAAGTGCTATGTATAGCTTATACATTACAATTGGGCGTATGCCATGTAGCGACTTTGCCAGACTTTGTTTACGAGGAACAGGAGCACCTAGTGGAAGAAGCGCAAGGCAAAGACAATAGCTACGTTGATGGTCAGCAAACTTGTAACAAACGTCGAAGTCTACAGTGACGATCAGCACGATAACGAAACAAAAGAGACGCAAAAGTCCCGGGTGAACGTCCACTATATTCTCGGGCACCAAGAAAACCAGCGCGTTCATCTTTCTCGCAATAGTATCATCAAACGCATATGTCAAATATTTAATGTTTGGATACTTTTGAATGTTTCTTTTAGATTCTGAATCTCCGTTGGAGATGCGGCGGTGATTAAACAGAGTAGGTTGTGGAATCGGAGAAAACCTCGTCGGATAATCGGTCAGATAAATCCAAGGATCAGGCACTCCCGCTCCTGTCTGATATCAGTGGAGGCGGAGGCAGATCGGCGACGCGGTTGGACTGTGCCAGTGACTGATCCTGCGCTCCGAGTCAGTCTGGAATGTGTTCGATAGTATCGTGTTGTACGCCTGACTGAATCGTTGGTCAATCTACAAAGAAAACCTTTAGATCGAGCTGGGGCACATGAGACTGTATACGTTAAAGAACGTGTGTGCTCACAAAATTGATGCATAAGGTAGGCCGCAGAAAAACCTAATCACTGACTTATCCTATCACCTTCCTGCAGCTGACTCAAATTCAATTAAGGTACTCGCCTATGACTAGATCCAGCTGGCGAGATGATGTCAAACTTGAATGGTGAGTCCATCGCACAAGTTTTCGAATGTATTGCTGCGGCTTGCTCGACGCCAACTTGAGCCTATGATAGCGACGAGCGTGAAGGTAGGCACTTCTCGCTCACCCTCTACGTCGTCGCCGACCACGACCGCCTCAAATCTGTTGCAACACGTCACCCTCTCTCCGATCAAGGGTTTACTGAGAAAGCTTCATCATGATAGATTATCGGATTATCAGTGATTGCCAATTTATTCATGGCAAGTCATCCCACTCACCTCGTGCTCAGCCATTGTGACAAAAGCCGCCACCATCAGGCTGGCACTTGCAATTTATTTTACCTAAACATTCGCTTCGAGCAATTTCGCTTGCGCTAATGCGGCACAAGAGTGCTTCTGACTCCTATGCTTGGCACTTCCTTTACAAACAGAACTTACCTTCCAACGATTTCGCTTGTGAGGAACGCTCGCTAATGTAGCACAAGACCAGTGGCTCGCCCCAACACTTCATTTCACTTGTTTGTCAATATGGGGTAAGGGGATTTTCTTACTGTTCAACATCTCTCCCCACTGATGGACCTTGATGGGCCCGCGAGGCCTTAATGAGCCCAATCATATAAAAGACAGCCTTACTGGACTACTGGTTACAGCATTCAAATCTCTTCAACTTTCCACAATCAATCTCTAGTGCACTTTGTGTTTTACGACTCGGATCCCGCAATGTCAACCATCTATCTCAGAAACTTGAATTTTCGGGCGTGAGTGTCTTTGCACCCGGATTGCATTGTCCTCACTTTTTTACCCGACCGTCTCACAGCAATGACCTCGGGAGAGAATCGACCCTTCTACTCACTTTCGGCAGCAACATGGATGGCATATACCGAGACTATTTCCCTGTAGTTTGGCGGTAAGTACCCTCAGTTTCGCCTGCGATTACTCCAAACCTTGCGATATCACAGGGTCACCACATTCGGAGCGCAGGGTGGGTGTGCCTACACCTTTGCTGCGTAGTTGCCAACTCACACACAATTCTCGTCTCAGGCCAATTCATGGTGTCGGCGAAATACACCAACCAGTAAGACAAAGGACCAAATTATGCTCACCAACATTGCTGATTTAACTTATAGGCTCGTTTTCACCAAACCACAGGTCCAAAATCTGCAAATCGTTGGTTCTGCAGCTACTGTCAAGATCGACGTGAGCCACTCTCATCTACTCTGTGACTCCTAGCACCAATGCAAGAAATCACGCAGTACGGCCAACAAACCACACTGACTCAGGCCGGTGGTGGCTACTGTTTCGGTGTAAGTCTAGTTTTCATCGATTTTTTTTCTTAACCACTCAAGAACAACTCGTGTAGGCCCCTGAGGCAGGTGCGGATGATTACATCAAGGCCTTGAATAACACTGGGAAGAATGAGGCCATGGCAATCGGTTTGTGATCGCCATTTTTTTCTTTTGTTTGACCTCGATGAATTCCACATCCAGGCTTTGCAAACGATGATTATATGTCTACACCTACGTTGTACTTCGGCGATATTGGGTTCGAAATCATCTCTCTACTTCTCCTCCACCGAACTCACAGTGCAACATACAGAAACAACAGTAACATTACCGCACAGTTCACTCCAAAGCTCCGTGCCTACATTACCACGTATTATCAAGAGGGAGAGATCTTGAGAGCTGAAATCCAAGCCCCTGTCATCTGGGAACGGGATCTTGCCGATCTTGACGAGTCCACTACCTGGAACCTCACGATGGACGCAAACACTGGAAATTACGCGATCACTCAGGTGTGATGAAGGAATGAAAATCGGTGTACCACAGTATCTGTTGTCTGAGGTCCGTATCTTAAATTTCGTAGAATCTTCATTTGGAATCCTGACAGTATGAGTCACTCAGTTCCCAATTGGTCTTGTATAACGTCGCTTGTATCTCATGTATTGGCTCTGAATGGTAGCAACTCTATAGCATTGAATTCATTTTTACCTATATTGCATCGAACGAGATCTTCTTGACTTGAAAGCGCTCGTATCCGACTCTGAAGATGTTGCAAGGAGTGACATCAGAATCAAGGGGATCATTTATCCCGGCTATGTGCATTAATGTGCTTTCCCTCTCCTTTCAAATAGTATTCGTCGCGCTTTTAGATGATCTTCAGAGCGCACTTCATTTCACACGTGTAGCTCTATTCTACTGACTTCTGTTATTCGCTGGTACGTCATTTGATAATGTTGAAAGCGCTATGAGATAAACCGAGGTTGAGCTGATCGTGAATGAAGGTGCTACTTATATGTGAGTGAAGCAGCGCTGTTGGCCTTGCTGTCGGAACTGGAGCTAGTTGGAGGAAGCTGAATTCTCCATACAGCCATCTATCTCTCGCACAATGTCATGGTTTCTTGTTCGTCAAAAGGCTCGAGGCTGGGTTAGGTGTTGAAGGGGTTTGCGATGAAGGCGAGGTCTCCGAACCACAGATCCAGAGGCGAGATCTTGTCAAATTCTTGGAGGATGATGAGGCTATTGCGCAAGTTGTTGAATACGTTGAACACTGTAGGCTCGACCCCGAGCAAATTGAGACATAGCGTGAAGGCACGTACATCGCGCTCTCCTTCCGTGTATGTTGTCTCTAGTATATCATGAATCAGATATGAACCAAGAAGTTTGGATGATGGACGTACATTCGTTTCCACTCTGCGGCTTTTAAATGGTAATTGAACCAACAGAGTAGAATTTGATCTTGCGCCAACTGTAGGAGGTCGTCGATAGGGCTGACGCATAAATTCCACTCTCGTTGAGATTAAAGAACACGGTCCACGATCCCTGGTCTCATCGCTTCCAGAACATCGAGGAAGAATAAGGCGGTGGTGATAACTAGATCTTTGAACGATCAGATCGTACGCCGGGTGAACCTTTGTGTGATTGCGTTGGCCCACTTGAACATGTCTATGTCGTTTCCGGTGATGTTTAACCTGTGATGAACCTGATTAGTTGCCAGACAAGAGCGAGAACGAGTGTCTTAGACTTGTGGAAGCATGAACGATATCAGCGCCCTGAATGCCAATGAGGTGTGATTTCCGATATATTCCTGCTCTTCTTCATCAAACATCGTCGGGCGCGTGGTTTGTGGACCGCTTTTGCGAAACACAGCGCCATACTGCAAAACCAGGTAATATCTTATCAAGTGCTTGGAAATAGTGAGTCGAGCCACCACGTAAGTTTTCAAATAAGTTGAATATTGCTGGCTTGACACCAATCGAGTTGAGCCATAGTGAAAAGACGCGCGCTTCACACTTGCCCTCTGCATCAAAGTCTTTCACGGCGCCATAATTGTTGGCTTCCTGATAATCAAAAAGACTTGAGGATGGGCTGTTGAAGAGGCTTGTAAACAAGGAGAGGCCAAGGCGGAGATTACCGGAGACGAGGGATGAAAGCATGAGGTACTTACCACTTGTGACAGCCTAAGGATTTTGGTGTTTTGGAAGCCTTGTGCTGCGCTTTGCCAGGCGTCTTTGGTTTTGGGAGGTAGGAAGGAGCATTGATCAGGTTCAAAAGCATGATACAGCTCTTGCTGTTGTTGACTCTGTAGATGACAGGTGTAAAGAGAATCGATAAACGCAGGTGAGTGCATGCCTTCGTTTCCACCTGCTGCTTTCAAGTGACAGTTGAACCAAAATTCGACCTAGCGTCAACTGTAGGAGGTCCGAGTCGCCGATCGTTTCGACAGCCGATACAGTCCAGGGCCTCGGGTCAGATGAAAGTTGATATGGTCTCCGTGAAAGAAAAATAAGTCAGGCCAAATTTAAAAAGAGACCCTGGCGCAACAACAATTTCAGGATGTGTACTACTCGCCTCGAGGGAACGTTAATCATGATGAACACTTGAACATTCGAACATTATGATTTGACCAGGCTGCTCTTGCGCATGCGTGACAATGTCAGGCTGTGACACGGTTATCCATTAGTAAGGCGAGGAAAGTTATTTCGGCTCACTCAACTATCATGTTTGTATGTCATCTGTCACGGTTATCTTGCATCTCATCAAGGCTGAGCGCTGAGCGCTGAATGGCGTGGTTGTATCAAGGCCTAACAATGGATCCTGTTCCTTCACTAGCTACCCGCTGTGAATTAGGTGTGCACAACTTCTACGCGTAAGTTTGACTGTCGAAGGTGCTTTCTTGACGCAAGAATTCGCTCACAGGCAGAGATCTTCGAGTCTCGCCATCATTGAACTGAGCCTACCTGCTGGTACGTAGCCACGTTATGAATCGGATGATGTGTGTGAAAGAAATTTCAGAAATAATCCCTGATGATCCAGTCCGTTCTCTGCCACATAAAGTTCCGCAGCTGGTCATGACTACTGATGAAATAGATGCAGTGCCTCTCGAGAACAGCATTGAAGTGAGGACATCCCCTGAGGAAATCACTATAAAAGTACTGGATGGTACACGAACAGCATATGCGCACCAAGTTCATGAGCAAGTTCCGAGCGCAGGTCATATATATGGTGATGCGCCAAGACGTGTAAAGTTATTTACGGATCATGGACTCATTTGTACATACGGTCCCGGTAACATAGTATTCGCGGTACATAGTATAAAGGATAGACGACGACGAACGAATATCTCAGTCCAATAGACTGAAATGTGAGTACACATTTTCCAAGATACTTACTATACTAACTCGTTATTAGTTCTATTCCTAATAGACTGAGATTTCCATTTTCAGCCCTCCACTACCACTCGCTCGCATCATAATCTTCATAGTTCACCCATCACAATATGACCTACATCTCGAATGATCCCGCTTTGTGGCCGTTGGTCAATTGGATCCAGATATTCGGCTACTTTGTAGGTTCGTGGAGAGCAATTGGATAATGTTGGTGACACATTGTTGACTGCGGTTTCGCAGTTGCGTCACTTGCTGCTGTGGTATACGATTGGGGTGAGCGAGATGACACTTTCAAAGGGGATCATTGATATTCAAACGAGATTCAAGCATTAATATTCGGGCGAGAGGTAAGTTGATGATATTGTCGGCGCAGCCATCTCACTTGGAATACTTCAACAGTTCGAACTGATCTGGGTGAGAAAAGTCCCATACCATAAGTACAACAGGACAATGAAGTCGATTCGTGGCAGAGGCATCACTGGTCCGTCATGACTGTACTTTATATTTGTGTAAGTATCTTATGTTATAAGCGCAGTGGTCAAATTGTGCTGACTTTAACGTATGCTAGGTGCGCTACATTGGAATATCATATTCTATGTATGTTTTCAAGTCTAACTTTATAACTCTGCACTGTGCTAATGAGTCATCTCTCATAACAAGCATCTACATGCTGGGTATGTGTCCTCAAATATATTCATTTCTTCTGACTGACAGCATGCAGCGTATATCCAAGTCCCGATTACAGATTCAGTGGGTTTTCTGCACCGCTGCCTGTGATTCTCATTCAACTATTAATTAAACTCCTGCGTAGGGGTGAGTGATATTCTCGGCCAGCTTGTTTCTTTAACATAGTGACTGCAATAGCTGTGAGTTCATTTGAAGCATTAAGTCTACAATCTGCCTCGTTAACTAGGCTGACAGGCACTATTTTTTGGTTTGTCCAGGCGTGGGCCCCTATTGTCGTCAATGTCATGTTGGGCAGTGAGTTCAGCTGTGGCACTTTTACTTATATTGGATTGACTGAAGTACTATTCAAGTCGTCATGATGACTCGGATACATGCCATGTATCAGGGATCCAAAAAGATTCTCATCTTTCTCCTTGTGGTTTTACTGGCCTCCACGATTGCTGCTGTTGTTATGACAGTAATTGCAAACCTGGGTGTTTCAGGGGGTAAGCTTTTATTATAGACGAAAGCTCTAAGCACATTAAACTCATGGACGAATTCAAGAGGAGTCCATCCTTTCTGGACACCATATGTGTTTTTCCAACATCAACATAAACCAGATAGAACTTGATAGCGAGACCTATATACCCGCCGTAGTATGGGAAATTCTCGCCTTTTTTCTTGCAGTCTGGATTGTTATCAAACACATCCGTGAACTGCGATATTCGTCGGCAGGAACGACCACTGGAGACTATTTCACAGTGTTAGCACAAAGCCACGTGCTGTATTTTCTATCGTGAGTTCCGTGATTTGGATGTTACTGTGTTGTTCCGCTGAAGTTCCGAATGTACAAGCTTTGCTGTTGTGTCTTGTCTCGACCTCGGCTTACTGTCTCCAAATATCTTTGTACGTTGATCCATAACTCACGTCTGCATCTGACCACTCGTCGCTTCTACAGCACTCAACTTCTGTGGGAGATGGTGTTTATGGCGGTGCTCTCCAAATCGTCCAGATGTTGCAGATGTTTGTGCTGGGACCACGTCTGATCCTCAGCGTTCGGGAATATCACGCCAAGCTTCTGGCCAGGTCAGATGGGGGAACTGACATGACTACAATTTTTTTTGAGGAGCTTAGACATGTGTCGACTAGTGGTGGTATGGGAGATAATCAACCCTGGGTACTTGGCAGGGAACACGTAGATTTTGCTTGAAGTTTCGTTGTGGTATTTATCTAGAGCATCGTGGTATCTATTTACTTTTCCGAACTGATTTGGAGGATAGAACTTGGTCTGGGCAAACTAATGTCATGCTGCATCGCCCCTCAGGCTGGAACCATCAGCTTAGCCATACATGTACGGAGCCTACACAACGCCTCGTAATCAATGCATGCGGTATGGTGGGCCGTTTGCACCATAATTAAATCACGTGCACGCAGAAATTTCACGCACGCACACAGAAAAGAAATCGCGCGCAGACACTTCGACATTTTCAATACTAACTATGTATAAATTTTTGATGTAGGGTCAAAGGCAAAAAACAATCTTTAGGATTATCACAGTCCATTTAGCTGATTGTAGGGTAGATTCAGGTAGAGTGTCAGGAAAACTACGAAAATAACGAACAACTTCATTTCCTATCCCAGGGGTTGCGCTTTGCTTTGACGAGCATGTTGAATCCCGAACGGGACGACGAGAACCGTGGGGTGTTGTTGCGCATTGGATGAAGATTCTGCAGAAGGCCGGAGCCAAGTTCACGAGTCGAGGCGTAAATGCCGCCATCAAGGAAGTACCTGCTAATGTGAATGCGGAGGGCAGTATATCTTCACTGGCTGGGAGTAGTGCTGCCACAGTCCGGTCCCAGGCCAAGACTGAACCTCTCCAGAGGTTCACCGTTCGGCTGACGGTGAATAGGTTTGAACCTGTCTGAAACCTTTGTGTAGGTTTCACATAGAGCCGTCGCAGCTGACGGAGCAGAACTCGGGCCCACGAAGGAATTCTCTTTTCGTCTGTGAAGAGCCCACAAATATCATCTGCAGCGGCCATAAACGTCGCTTCCTTGACCACACTGGACGTGTTCATTTGGACTTGTTTGACTGGGGCAGGTTTTGGAACGGTGGTAGACGCTGATGCGGCCGTCGCAGGAGTTGCACTGATAGAAGGAGCTGGTGTACCTGTGCGGCTAGCTTTACCATTGACAGTAAGGTCCTTTCCGTGGGTATCAATGAGAGCTGCAGGGAACTCGGCAAACTTGGCCTCGAACGCCGGTGGGAGACGCGTCTTCACGAAAGTGAAGAGCATTCACTGAATAAATCGCAATGTTTCCCTCGGTCCCTTCGATTACGATAGCTGTCTTGCTGAAACCATTCCTTTGCCCATGGAGTGACATTTTGTTTTTCCAGTGCCAGTTCGCAGCGGAAGTTGGCATAGCCATCTTGGTGAGGATGCACTGGGCATTTGACGCAACACCTCGACATTGCTGTTGAACCCGGTTCGAACGCGAACTAGACCTCCTAAACGTGTTCAGAGGTGTTCGGTCCAGAGTTCGACCAACAGCTGAACCTGAACCTTGTGTAACTAGGTGACATTGAATGGGTGTAGGAAGAAGTGGATGATGCGGAAACATAATCTCCTGAAGACTTGAAAGTAGGTGGAGGCTGGCCACCGGTTGATGATAGACGAGCGAGAACTGACACGCGAAGACACTCATCACGTAGAACAGGAGATGTTGGCCGTTCAGGTACCCAGCCCACAGAAGACACGCAAAGAAAATCACATTAAATACGCTTAGCGCAGGACGAATGTCATCGCTCAGAGTCCCCAGACGTACCGCCATGGACTTGACTCCAGCCTTTTCGTTCTCCTTCTTGTCCTGAGATGCTGCTTCTCGTGGGGACCTGAAAGACGAGGGCATAGGAAATTGCGCCACGGTGGTACGAACAGGGCACTTCAACAGACAATGTGGGCCGGAAAGGTGAAGACTGAGGAGCAGTGCTCATGGAGGAAAACTTTGTCGAACTCGGAGATACTTGGGGTATTGAGAATGTGCTTAATTAATCAGTAGCTCGTACTTGGTCTCCTCCGCCATTAGGATTTTGTACATAGTTAGTATTGAAAATGTCGAAGTGTCTGCGCGCGATTTATTTTCTGTGTGCGCGCGATTTGAGTGTGCGCGCGTGAAATTTCTGCGTGCACGTGATTTAATTATGGTGCAAACGGCCCACCATACATGCGGATTCTGCTAACACACGTGGAGATCTTATGCAACAGCGAGAATGGCTCGTCACTGTCCTAAAGTCCAGCGTTTCAAAGCGTTTCGAGTCTTTACTGGTACTCATGACGCGACTTCATTTCCCTTTGCCTCAGTTTATGGGCATTGGGCAGTGGGAACTGAGTGCTATTCCTTTCGCTCCGCTTCGATAATGGGTACGTCACCATCAACCAGGTCATTTCGGAACTATCAATTTCAACCCGGACCCGTCAGACATTCTACAGCGAGCGCGGAGAATGATGTTGGCAGTCCCACCTTTGTGTTTGGAGAATTCTAACCAACTCAGAGACCCTTCCGGTATTTCAATATGTCATGATCGGATGGTGCAAGGGGAAATCCTCGAGAATTTGCAAGACTGGCAGTACTAGCAGTGTTGATTGGCCGTGGTGCCACACCTTCGGTATCCGCTCTTGAGACGCTGGTGCAGCATATTCTCGTCTCCGATTAGGCCATACATCATCGTCTCGAACTTGTAGGTTTGGGAGGTGGATTTGAACCTTCCGACAGTACGCAATTCAGGTAAGAGGATTCATATTGATCATAAAAAAGATGAGGAAAGAGCTCATACCGCAAGTCACCATCTAGCCTTCATTTATCAAGCTTGACAGATTGACTGTATCGTTGAAGTTTGATATGGTAGCGACGTTCAGACGGCCAAAAGCTAGCCGTGGGAATGCCAATTTGGTGGATTCAGGGCGACGATCACACCGGACCCGATTGAGGAATTCCTGCATCTAGGTGCGAATAATATCCAACCATCCACAATTGATTCTGTAACCTGTTTTCAGGATCACTAACCCGCGGTGAATTAGATGCACACATCTGCTACACATAACCTTACTTCCGAAGGCGCCTTTCTTCACGCAGTCTTAAACTGCACTCATAAGCAGAGTTCTTCAAGTCTTGCGAGAACCGAAGCAGCACCCACTCAATCACGCCGTGGGTGTATCGCCATGTTGTGAATAGTGCAAAGCAAAAATACTAAATATTTCCCGATGGGTGCGCTGAAGTTGACAACGACTCGGCTATCTCCAGTAGTCTGCCTCTCGACCAAGGTGCCTGATGGCGCCAAAGTTATTCTGATCATCGAAAGTCTCTATTACGAACAGTCCGTTCTTCGCCCTGCACAACTAAGGTTCTGCAGTTTTCTCTCCGTTTAAGTGGTGACTACATCCTTACTGATGGAACGGATGCAGAACTTTTCTCGAGAACGACTTGGCAACACGTTACCAGGATTTCTTGGTGTTCTGCTTCGTATGTTACAGATGATGTAACAGATCAAGAAATATGTACGTGAATTAGACCGACCGCTTCTCAGACCCCCGTTCTACTCACATAATAATAGCTGCCGCGGCCAATCAAGGTGTTGATTCAACGACAACATATACAGCTTGTTCATTATAAAAGTGCTGGATGGTGGTATGCCTAGATAAACACCATTGTTCCCCCAAGTTCACCGATACCACTATGACCTACGTCTCGAATGATCCCTCTAATTGGCCGTATCTCGAATGGAGTCGTAGATACAACTATTTTATAGGTTCGTCCCACGATGTTGGTGATATTTTACTGCCGTTGACTGTGGTTTCGCAGTTGCATCCTTGACCGCGGTGATATATGATTGGGGTGAGCGAGATATTACTTTACGAGGGGATCATTGATATAGACACGTATTCAAGTACTGACGTTTGCACAAGAGGCAAGTTGATACCATTGCCAGTGCAGCCATCTCACTAATCATGCTTCGACAGTTCGAATTGATCTGGGTGAGTAGAGTCCTATATCAGAAGCAAACAGGATGATATAGATGATTTGGGGTAGAGGCAACGCTACTCCCTCATGAATGTTCTTTATGTTTGCGTACGTATCTGACATTATAAACGCAGTTGCCAAGCTGTGCTGACTTTAACATATGCTAGGTGCGCTACATTGGAATACTATTTTCAGTGTATGTTTTCAGCGCTAACCACATCATGGGTACTGCTAATAAGTTGTCTCTCACAATCAGGGTCTACATATTGGGTATGCGATATCTGATGTGTCCATTTCTTCTGACTGATGACATGCAGCGAATTTCCAAGTCTCAATTACAGATGCAGTGGGTATTCCGCACCGATTCCTGTCGTTCCCATTCAGCTACTAACTGCACTCTTACATAGGGGTGAGTGATATTCTCTGCCGGCTTGTTTCTACATAACAACTTCAACAGCTGTGAGTTCATTTGAAGCGTTCATTCAAAAAATGTACATCAGTAACTGGGTTTTCAGGCAATATCATTTGGTTCATACAAGCATGGACGCCTGCCATAATCAATGCCATGCTGGGAGGTGAGTGTGGTACCTTAATGGTATTGACTTGACTGAAATATCATGCAAGTCATCATGACAACTCGGATACATGCCATGTACCAGGGATCCAAAAGGATACTCATCTTTCTCCTGGTAGCCCTGTTGGCTTGTACAATCGCCTCCGTGATTATGACGGTAATAGGAAACCTCGGTGTTTCAGGGGGTAAGCTTATTTTATGAATGAAATCCTGAGGACTCATGCACGAATATCAGTGGAGAACATCCTTTCTGGCAACCACCAGTGTTCCGAAAACATGAGCCCAGAGGATATACGTCTGAATGCTGAGACTGTGATACCCACCATTGTGTGGGAGATCCTTGCCTTGTGTTTTGCAGTCTGGATTGTCGTTAAACACTTCCGCGAACTGCAAAAATCACCGACAGGGCCGAATATCAGAGACTGTTTCACGGTGTTAATGAAGAGTCATGTGCTGTACTTTGTAGCGTGAGTTCAAGTGATGTGGATATTATTACCTCACTGAAGTTCCGGATGTGCTAGCTTTGCTGCTGTATCTTGCTTCAACCTCGGCACACTGTCTCCAAATCTCTCGGTGCGCTGATTCGTGACTGTCACCTACATCTGACTACTGCTCATCATCTCTACAGCCCTTCTCCGTGGGAGTCAGTTTTTATTATGGCATTGGCGAAGTTGCCCAGGCCGTACAGATGTTTGTTCTGGGACCACGTCTCATCCTTAGCCTTCGACAATATCATGCTAAGCTCGTGGCGAGCTCTGACGAAGGCACTTGCGTCACTACAATGGATTTCCATGAGCGCAGATACGCATCAACCAGGGGTAGTGTGTAGCATGGGGAACGATCCAACAGCCACAGGTATCGTGCACCGCATGTAAAAATTTTGTCGTGTTTATTTGGACCTTATGGTATTTATTTGATGTTTCAAAGTGATTTGGAGGATATGATTTAGTCTGGGACAATGTGGTATCACTTAGCGCTGACAATTAAAGACTCTTTTCCTTCTATTTGGTCTGCTTACAGGATAGCGTCACTACTGGCCAAACTGCCGACTGCTGGTACATAGTGGTGCATGTACAATGGAATATTGCACGTTTCGCACTCAGAAGTCCGAGTTTTGTTCACATATGAGCAATTTGATACAATAGATGAGAATGTCTCGTTAATTCTTCGGAGAGAGTTCAGCTTTAAATTCGCTACTTTGAAGTTCATCCTGACTCCTCGTAAAATGACTATAATGTCTGCGAGCTAGAGTGACGCGGACGAGTCAGTCACTGATTCACACTGCACAGGTGACATGGCCAACAATATGAAGGGTAAGTGTGGCCGCAGTGGCTGTGCTGACGCGAACCAGTGACTTTTAAATTACAGTACTTAGCACAATCACCCTGTTGTACGACTGGCATTAACTATAATCAGATGGCGGAAGGCAGTATTCATCAAAATTCCTCGATCCCATCACGGCGAAGTCGACCGCAGTAACTTTGTTGTTCCCACCGGTTCGCAAAGTCACTTTGATCCTCGCACCCATCATCATCAGTCCGTTTCTCTCTCGCGCACGGCTTTGTGTTAGAAGGAACCATATGGTATCTGATTGAACTGATACAGAATATCTCGAGCACGCAGCATTGAGACAAGTTCCATCACGAACAGATTTTCCCAGTGTTCAAATATTCCCTGCATTTAGATCCAAAATCCCAAAAATGAACTTTGGTTCTATTCAGCACTGGCTTCTGACGCTATTCCCTATATATTCTATTTCAAGGATTTCATACGACAATGGTTGCATACAACCATCAATCAGGGATCCGATTCAGGGAATGGAACTTGAAATCCACACAGATCTCTATAAAAGCGCTGGATGGTGGTGTATCCGAAGCTGCACGAACGCTATCGCTATTCGTGTATCAAGTACGCCAATTCCAACTTGAACATGACCTTCATATCGGATGATCCCGCTTGGTGGACGACAATCGATTTGGAACGTGTTATGGACTATTTTATAGGTTCGTGAGGAGCAAGTCGTCGGATGACGTTCAACATGACATCTCACTCTATCTTTGACTTGTGGTTTTACAGTTGTATCCTCTACTGCAGTAGTATATGACTGGGGTGAGCGAGCTACTACTTGCCGCGGCGATGATTAATATCTGTTTCAAGCACTGACATTCGCCCAAGAGGTAAGTCAATGTCATTTCCGGCACAGCCATCTCACTGATAATCATTCGATAGTTCGAGCTGGTCTGGGTGAGCAGAGTCTACATTACTCTGAAGCATAACACGATCTGACAATTTATTTCGGGCAGAGGCAACGCTGGTCTTTCATGACTGTCTTATATATCACTGTGTGTAGCTCATGCTATAAACGAAGTTGGCAAGTTGTACTGACTCCAAAATATATTAGGTTCGCTATGTCGGAATAACATATTATGTGTATGTTTGAAAGTTCAGAGAGCTGACAATACACTGCTAATAATCGATGTCTCACATATTCAGCGCATGCGAATTG